GGGAGAGGGAGAAGCAGGCTTCCCGCTGAGCAGGGAGCCCGATGTGGGGCTTGATCCCAGAACCCTGGGATCATGACCTGAGCTGAAGGCAGACGCTTAATGACTGAGCCACCCAGGTGCTCCAAACTCTGTATTTTTAGAGAGGATTACTCAGTTTGTTATCTGTCCCATTATCCTCTCTACAGCTATATAATTCCACCATTTTAAAGTGTATTATATGACCACTAGATGGGATAACAAAAAAGAAAGGAACTGAAACTAAAATCTGGTTAATTTGGTTGCTTTGTTGGAAATCCTACTAACCAAAAAAATTTCAGATTTGACTTTCAGAAGTTTCCAAATTTCTAAATCACAGTTTTGGGGTTTTTTTAGACACGCTGGGGCAAAGAATAACTTAGGCATAAAAAATAAGAGATTGGTGACAGTACAAAAGGTCGAAATTTAGGGGTAGATGTTAAAAGGGGTATGCAAAAGGAGTGACCACAAATAGATTATACCAATGGAAACCGAACCACGTTCTACTGAAAACTTAGCCCACACGACAATTTTGAAAGGAATGCTATAGGCTGCCACTCCAGGTCTCTTGTTGGTCTGCCCTTTGAATTAACTATATTTTCTTTTTAGAGTAAAGGTGACTTACATTTTCAGATACACAAGGTCCTTTGGAATTGAGAGACACACAGGGTCCAATAGCTCCTGAAATCTTTATTTCCCTTGAGGTCTGCAAAATAAGAATACAGTGAAAACTTCAGTGTAGTCAAAGATAAGTTCAAACATATTCAACTGTAAGTATATAAGAAGAGACATTTTTTTTTCCATATTTAAAACTCAAAAGTCAATGAAAACATGCTAATGTTAGAAATAATGAATCACTGGGCACTTCTAGGTTGGTAATCCCCAAATTTAAAATCTAGTCCTGGGTGCCTGGGTGGCTCAGATGGATAAGCGTCTTCCTTTGGCTCAGGTTATGATCCCGGGGTCCTGGGATCTAGTCCCGCATTGGGCTCCCTGCTCAGCGGGCAGCCTGCTTCTCCCTCTGCCTCTCTGTCTCTCATAAATAAATAAATAAAATCTTTAAAAAATACATATATAGCTCACTATAACTTTAAAAAAATTTAAAAAAATAAAATAAAAAATAAAATCTAGTCCTGACCTAACTTTAATACTCTATTTCCAACTGCCCATAGGAGGTCTCCATTTGGAAATCTCACCCTCAATGCAAAATAAAACCAAACCAAAAATTCATACATCCTATTATAGGAGATGGGAAGGAAAAACAAAATAAGGGAAATCAGAGAGGGAGACAAACCATAAGAGACTCTTAACTATAGGAAACAAATTGAGGGTTGCTGTAGGGGAGGTGTGTGGGAGGATGGGGTAACTGGGTAATGGGCATTAAGGAGGGCACGTGATGTGATGAACACTAGGTGTTACATGCAACTGATCTCTGAAATTAATAATACACTATATGTTAATTGGATTAAAATTAAAAAAAAATTCATACATCCTAATCCAAAGCCTTAAACACTATCTTCTGTTTTTCCTCCCTTAGAAAATCTGTCACCAAGACTGGTTTCTTTCCAATCTCTACTGACACCAAAATTTAAGCTATTATTACTTTCTATCAAAAAAATTAGGGGGCGCCTGGGTGGCTCAGTGTGTTGAGCGTCTGCCTTTGGCTCAGGTCATGATCCCAGGGTTCTGGGATCCAGTCCCACATTGGGCTCCCTGTCAGCAGGAAGCCTGCTTCTCCCTCTCCCTCTGCCACTCCCCTCTGCTTGTGTTCGCTCTTTCTATCAAATAGATAAATAAATATAAAATCTTTAAAAAAAAAAAATTAGAAAGCCTAATTCACTTTTCTTGAGATTCTTTTTCATGACAAACTGAATACCATTGTCAGACAAATTTTACCCGAAACACTGTTCTTCATTAATTTACAATGGCTTCTTCTGCCTAGACATGCATCTCCAAACTACAACCAACCACATTATTAAAACTATTTCCCTTACACTGCAATAAAAACCATTCACTCTCAGTGGGAAGTTTCCCCAAATATACCATGCTGATTCTCACTTCTTTACCTCTCCTCACATGGGATCCTAACTAAAATGTGTTCTCCTCAACCAACTTAAATTTTGCCATCTTTCAAAACCACTATAAGTCACTATAAAACCACTTATCATGAAGAATAAATTGTAACCTGCATACATTCATGTTTCTTCCCCAAACCTTTACATGACTTTTATGTTATTACATTCTATCACAAGTGTTAATCTTATCTTTCTTTCAAAACTAAGTTCCTTTTTTTTTTTAAGTAGGCTTCATGCCCAATGTGGGGCTTGAATTCATGACCCTGAGATCAAGAGCTGCATGCTCTATGGACTGAGCCAACCAGGTACCCCAAGGCTAAGTTTCTTCTTAAGAAAACCTGTGCCTTATATATCCCTTGAGATCTCTAATTTCCTTGCTTAATGCTGGACGTAGAGCAAGCATTCAATAAAATAAAAAGATTGACAAGAAATATTTAATGGAAATTCAAAATCAACGTGTTTGTAATACACCTGTAACTAACACTAAGCCTTTGGGTTTTTTGTTTTGTTTAAAGATTTATTTATTTATTTTAGAGAAAGAGAGAGAGCAGAGAGGGGAGAGACAGAGGGAGATGGCGAGAGAGAATCTCAAGCCAACTCCCCTCTGAGCCTTGAGCCCGATGCAGGGCTCGATCCCACCACCTGAGCTGAAACCAAGAGTCGGATGCCCAACCGACTGTGCCACCCAGGTGCCCCCAATCCTTTAGATTTTTAAAATCCAAATTTGAAGTGAATGATAGAAGTGAGTAATATCAGGGGCACCTGGGTCGCTCAGTTGGTTAAGCGACTGCCTTCGACTCAGGTCACGATCTCAGGGCCCTGGGATCGAGCCCCACATCGGGCTCCCTGCTCGGGGGGAAACTGCTTCTCCCTTTCCCACTCCCCCTGCTTGTGTTCCCTCTCTCGCTATCTCTCTGTCAAATAAATAAATAAAATCTTAAAAAAAAAAAAAAGAAGTAATATCGACAACCTACCAACCATAAAACAATTACTGATTATCCAAATGGCACAGAACAGGTTTCTCCTAAGTTAGAAACTAATTCCTACAATTAACAAAATCTAGCATTAACAATAGCAAACACAACACTAAAAAGATAAAGCACACTTAAAAAGAGTTAAATGAAATTTTACCTATATAGTATCTTCTTTTCTAACAATTATTTGGAAATGCTCAAGTAATATTTCATGTACATTTAATGATGACACATTTTTCTGGTAAAATCTCTAATTCTGGTTTTCGATATAAAACAACCACTACTTTTAAAGCTTATATTGAATTTAATTAATGATTTTTTTTTAAAGATTTTATTTATTTGTCAGACAGAGAGGGACAGC